GATGAGATGACCAATAATTTTTTTTCTCTTTCTATGACGGGCATGCAAATGAAATAGCTTGGTGTTGGCATCACCTTCCTGGAGCCATCCAATACGTGATCGCAGCCTATCAATAGTTCTACTAAAGGAAGAAAGAGCAAGGCTGTGCTTTTTCAGATTGTTTTTCAACCACAATTCTCCTGGAGATAGGGGACGATTATCTTGAGCTATCTCAAATTGATGAAGGATTTCCCGTGCCAAGGCAAGCTGAAATTTCACATTACCAACCGTTTTGCTACTCCACCTCTGTAATCCCTTAGCGGTTGCTTTAAATTTCTGGCTTAGAGTTAAATAGGGGCAAGAGCCGGTAGGAACAAACGTCCATGCAGTGGCTACCACCTCCTGAAACCCATCCATCTTGGTCCAAAAGGACTCAAAATGAAATCTGCGCCTTCCTACTTTGTTATCCTGAAGCCCCAACAGAAGAGGGCAGTGATCAGAATCTTCTGACGCCAAACTTTGGAGCAAGAAATTAGGGAATTTATCCTCCCAGTCTACAGAACAGAGAACCCTGTCCAACTTAACCAGAATAGGGGAGTCTTGCTGATTAGACCAAGTGTATTTGCGACCATGGAGGGGAACTTCTTTGAGGGCCATATCATTAATGAAACGCCTAAACCGACCCATCATAGCTCTATTGTAGTTGGCATTATTCTTATCCTCATCTTTGTAAATCAAATTGAAATCCCCTACTATCATCCAAGGCCCAGGACAGGCAGCCCGGATGTCACGATGCTCCTGTAGAAACTGAATTTTATCCCCATTCCCCTGCGGTCCATAAACACAAGTCAGCCACCACGCGTGTCCATTATCCGCGGAGAATTGAATGGGCGTACTAAATCTGTTAACCCTCTGAGCACCAGAGACTCCCACACGACGCCTCCAAGCAACAAGAATACCACCACTAGCCTCGGTTGATGGCAGAGACAAGTGTCCTGTGAAATCAGACCCGAGGGTAGATAAAATGACCCTTTGAGACATGGCTGTGATCTTGGTTTCCTGAACGCAAGCAATATCTGCACAAGAAGAGACTACCCGAGAACGCACTGCATCTTGTCTAGCGGTAGAATTTAAACCCCTCACATTCCAAATCAGAATTTTTGATGGATCCATTGAACACAAATAAAGAACGACCACAGAACCGACTCAGAACAGACCTACATCACCAGCACCTCCTCAATCCCAGACTCCAAATCTTCAGGGAGAGACCAGTTAAACAATGCAGTCAGAGCCTGGAGATGAGAATCCGAGAGTGGCTGCCCAAACAGCTTGAAATACTTGTCTTGGGCCTGTTGAGTCAAACCTTCATGCTCATCAATGATGTTGAGGGACCTCATCGCCTTCTTCCTTGGTCTTCCCCCCAGGTCTGCAGGGATCACTTCAGCCTCGACACCAAGCAAGCCGACGGCCACGGGCGGGCAGAGCCACAGGTGGCACAGACATGCCTCTATGTCTGGCAGACGGAGGGGCGGGCAGCAGGCTCGAAGTGCGTCGAGATATCTTATCAAGGAATGCAGTCTGAGCATCTGGTGCAAACGTCGACGAAGGAAGGAGTCCCACAGCCGCCGGAGGGGGCACCATTGCAGCCGCCAGAGGAAGCCCATCGCGGCCGCCGGGCAGCTGCCGGATGGGGCACCGTTGCAGCCGCCGGGGATGGGCCCTCCGCATCAGCCAGAGACTAGGCCATAGCAGCATCAGCCGCCTGCTCACCCCCAACCATCGAGCCCACGGCATGGGCCATCTCCGTAGAGGAGGTTGGAGGCGGAACGGCAACCACCACCCCCGCCGCCTCGCCCCCGCCCGCGGGGGTCCTTGAGTGGTGGAAGTGGCGCCTAGAGTAAACCAGGAGCGGCTTCACTTGAGGTTGAGGAAGCAGCGGTGGGGTGACCAGGAGACTGAAATCGGGAATGTGAGATGAAGAATGCGGCGTCCGAGGTGAGGCCGACAAAACCGTCGCCTCCTCGGGGAAAAAACACAGAGGTGAACGCGGTGAGGCCGGCAACTCCGTCGCCTCACCGTGATCCTCAGCATCAGCCCCAACAATATCAAGCCCATCATCCTTGTTCGGCCCAGGTGAGGCCGGCAACTCCGTCGCCTCACCGTGATCCTCAGCATCAGCCCCAACAAAATCAAGCCCATCATCCATGTTTGGCCCAGGTGAAGAGTCCACTGGCCCATGGGCGGCCAGCCCAGGAGCACCAGAAACGGTCCAAGGGAGCATTAACTCCTCCCCAACTGAGAACCGCATAAGCATGGGGGAGATTACCGAAGGGGCCGCATCGTCCGACGAGAAAGGCCTGGCAGCCGCTGGCTCCTCGTCGAAAGGGCCCTTCCGTCCATTGGCAGACACCGCAGTAATAGAGGGAACAGAACCGAGGGGTTCTATCTCTGGGAGGGGTCGGACATCCAGCGCCCCCTGGAAACCCGCGATCTGCTCCGGAGGAGCCTCGAGCGTCGGGGCCATCAAGATGCCGACGCTTGAAGGGGCCGCCACGTGGCCTGCGCAGGACGAGGAAGGTCCCCCCTGCTCAAGGACAGGGGGGCCATCATGGCCCCCACTCGCCGGAGGGACGTCGGACGGCGCGGAGGAACGGCGGCGCCGCCGTCGACGAGCAGGAGAGTCATCATCAATCCCTGCAGGAGGTGGCGGGGGGGAAGGAGAACCAGGCCCAAGCAAGATGGAGCACTTGATATCAATGGGGTAGGACAGTAATCTTTTCACCGGGGGGCCCTCCATGGAAGCGACCGGAGGTTCAGTGACCCAGAGCTCCTTAGAAGAAGGGAACGCAGCCGGATCCTTGCACCATGCCGAGCATCTGAAGGTCGACAGGTCCGTCAGCCTGATAGTTTCTGGGTGAACTTGCTGGATGCAGGCCAGAGGGCTCAAGAATTGCTCCACAGTCGAGGTCTCCCAGACATGTGCTGGAATACCCCGAAGCTCAAGATCAACCAGCCATGGCAGGGACCGCCCCGATGCACTGGCCAACCGACTCCACCGCATACACAGGAGGGTGAAAGCAGGTGAGCGCAGGGGTGGCAGTCGCTGATCCATCAAGCGCTCGACGAGGCCAATATCGGGGAGGACGAGCAGATAACTCGAGTCGGAAGCTTGACGAAGCACCAGGGAGCCAAACTCGACACCCAAACGGATAGCGAGAACCTCCGCTATCTCCCAAGCCGGGGCCAAGGGCTTCTCCCCACAGACAGTCACAATCACGGCATAAGCGAGGTCCTCTTCTGCCCTAGCCATGCGATCATCCCAGCTAATAATGCAGGGGGGAGACTGCACGGGCATGACAGGTGGTTCAGGGGGAGCCACTGATGCAGAAACCGAAGGCGCAGGATCAGCATCCATGGACGAGGCGGCAGGTTGACGGAAGCGGGGTCGACGACGGCGACGAGATCGCCTCCCCCCACCATCCATGGCCGCCGCCTCAGGTCCCTGCGGCACAGCTCCGCCGACAGTAGAATGCGCAGCCTGACCCAGTTCGGCCTCCACCACCCCCGCCGGAATGCCGTTGCGAGGACTAGAAACAACCGGGGAATTAGCCGGGGACTGGGTTGGAGATTTGCGTCTCCAGACACGCATGACAGCACCTGAGGCACGCCCAGCACTGGTGCCGCCAATCGGGTTAGCCGCAGCGACCTTAGACTCCTCACCCGCCGGAGAACCGTTGCGGAGATGAGCCACCGGTCTCGACGATGCTGGCCCAATGCGCTTCCAAACCGAGGTGCGCTCCGGAACAGCCGAGTTCATGGGACACACGTAGGACAGGTGCCCCAGCGAACGGCAGCGGAAGCACCTGGGTTTCTGACGGCACAAGATGGCAGTGTGACCGGCAGACAAACAGTTGAAGCACTTGCCCACCAAATCAGCAGGGACTTTACGACGAGGAGGACGCGCTTCACGCCGGCGACGCCGACACTCGCCACGCGACACGAACTCCACCCACCCCTCTGGACCAGGCTGCTCCGCACCCCACCGCCAAGAAGCAGGAGGGCGGATAAGGACGATCCTGGGAGGCGCAGGCGCAGGGATATCCTCCGCCACGGCAGGAATCTCTGCCGCCGTGGCCGACGAAAGCGTCGAGGAGCGAAGACCAGCAGACGAGATGACGACGTCCCGGAACGACGGAGCAGAACTGTCGGAGGACACCAAGCCGGAACTGTCTCCGCCCCACCGCTCAAGCTTGGAACGACCGCGAGAAATCAAGGGAGGGGAGGAATCCGTCGCTGAAGGGGAGGGGTTGGCCGCCTGTGCGGCAGAGGAGGTGGCCACCGGGCTCGGGATGAGTTCCGGCGGGGGGGCAGGGGTAGGCGAGGCGACGGGACAGGGAGAGACGTTTGGCATGGCTACGTTTTCAGGCTTACCATTGAACAATTTGTCAAAATACTCTTACCATCGATGTCGGATCTCATCCTCCTTCACCAAGAGATGCTCCCTTTCATCTTTAATGTACTTAACTTGGTTGAAGTCCCTTATCTTTCTCTCACGAACCGTAGCCATCCTATAAATGTCCTTCTCTCCTTCCTTCGTACTCAAATGTTGGTAAAGATCCTCGTACGCTCTACCCTTTGCCACACTTACAGCTCGTTTTGCAGTCTTCTTTGCCACCTTGTACTTCTCTATGTTGTCCACACTCCTGTTATGGTACAAGCGTCTATAGCATTCTTTCTTCTCCTTAATAGCCCGTTGGACTTCCTCGTTCCACCATCAAGTATCTTTAGCCTTGCCTCCACTTCCTTTGGTTACTCCACACACCTCTGAGGCCACCTTTCGAATGTTGGTTGCCATCTTCTCCCACATGTTGTTTATGTCCTCTTCTTCCTTTCAAGAGCCCTCTTTGATAACCCTTTCCCTGAATACCTCTGACATCTCTCCTTTCAGTTTTCACCACTTTGTAAATTTGTACTAACTGTATAATCTTAAACATCATGCATTGTAGAAATAGAGATCTTACCATAGGTGCGATTTGCTATAACTACCCTCGCACCCTTTTCCTTTGCCCCATAAGCAATTGCCTTACCAGCACCCCCAGCACCTACAACAACAATAAGCCTACCAGCCAATGGTGAGCTGGCAGCGTCCTTTGATCCTGGACCTGTGAAACATAAAGCATCTGACATCTTTTCCATGGCACACAAGTGTCGAAAGAGAATAGGTAATGTTAAACAAACCTCCAATGCCATCCTCAATAGCAGATATCGCTCCAATGTAGTCCGTATTGTACCCCACTAATTTGCCATCTGGTCTTCTAATTATGGTGTTTATCGCTCCTATTGACTGCATATTCAGTGAATAGCATTTCAATCAAATCGAGAATGATATGTAACTAATAACATAAGCATTTAAAGACTGTGTGCTGCACCCAATTACCTTAGCAACTGGTTCATGTTCATCACAACACTGTACAGCATCTACTTTGAAAGGAAGTGAGCAACTGCAACATAAGATCATATAGAGTGAACTAAGGAAAATTCTTTCAAAAAAATATCATTAAAACATGCATATGAAAATGACTTGTTAAAGATTGACACAGAAAAGTCAGTTTTGCTCGCCCAGGGACAATCCATGTTAACTCAGGCCCTAAAGTAATGTCTATTTCGGCAAAATTATATTTTTGCCAAATTATACAACTGTATTATGTATGTCATGAAAGTCTGAACTTGAAATAGAAAAGGAAAAATATCAGCAAAAATTTACAGAAGAAACATATAGCTTGGTGCTACCATGCAAACTGTTTTGATTGGGAAATTCTGATTCCAATCTAAGAGACATTAGGTTATGGATCCATCAAATATGCTTTCATGATCTATGAGAAGTTGCTAACAAAGTTCATCCATATGGTCCTCAACTCCACTTAAGGCCTTGTTGGGATGCATGTGTATCTACTTCAATCCACATGTATTGAAGTGGATTGGAATGGAACTTAGTTTAATTCCACTCCAATCCACTTCAACACATGTGGATTGAGATGGATACATGTGCATCCAAACAAGGGCTAAATATATATATATATATATATATATATATATCTTACAATTTTGCAGAACAAGATTTAGTACCTAAATCCTGAAAAGTCAGGAGATGAATATGTCTCAAGAAAACTAGCAAGATTGTCTCCAAGAAGTGGAAGATAAACAGCATTATATCCAATGGATTGAAGACATTTATTGTGCAAAATTGGGCTCTTGCTCTGCTTTACTGGGTTGGCTATAAGACCAAGAACCTTTGTATCAGGCCCAATACACTTTATGTTGTAAATGTCCAGTAAGTCCTCAACTGTTGGTTGTCCAGAAGCTGATGTCTTTGTAGCATTCAGTATCCCAAATGTAAGATATCCACCAAACTTGGGCGCTAACACTCTTGACATTAAACCTCTTTCACTCATTACGAGTCCAATCATAGGCACCTGTCATTTTTACTAGTCAGTCAAATGGAACTTTTAATCCAATATGGCATGAGAAAAAATAACTCTCTAAAGCATAGAAGTACAATTAAGATGAAATGTTATATGGTAGAGATCCAATAGGATCCAGCTATCAGGGTAGGACAGGATTAGTTAGTGATAGACAGGCCTAGTGCTTATATGGTTAGGATAGATAGATTGATTGATTGGTTGGTTGGTTGTTATCTAATAGGCAAGGATCCCCGCTGGTTCTGTTTTTTTAAACCTGGGTCATCCTGGCCTATATATATGTAACCTCATATCCCAATAATCAATCAACTATCTTGTGCCTAATCTCTTATGTCATTCGCCCGGGTTTCTCCGAGGCCTTCTTCCGCTGCCTAGGCGTGCCTCCGAGCTGCGCCATCTCCTCCGGTCATCGCCATGCAGCCGGCCACCCCTACACCCCCCCCCCGCCACCCCCCCCCTTCACTCCTCTCTCTCGAGAGCGAGCAGCGCCCGCCGCCAAGCAGCTGAACGCATTGCAGTAACCTGGCCTTGGCGAGCGCCTCCTGGCTGCGATGCCGCCCGCCGCCGAACGAGAGGCCGAGGTCACCGCTGCGGAGCGGCTCGCGGCCGAGGAACGCGAGCGCGCAGAAGCCGCGTGGGCTGAGGCCACACGCGCGCCCCACCCCGCCCTAGAGCCCGCTCTGCACTCCCCCCACGACACGCTGCTTCTCCATGAAGCTGCGGTCCTCGTCATACTCCACTCACAGGCCGTCGGTGTCCAGAACATCCGCACTCTTGTGCCCATCCTCGAGCCCTCCTCCAGCCAATACACCAGGTAGCGCGAACTGTTCCTCCTCACCTTGTGGAAGTTTGCCCTCGAGGACCATGTCCTTCAAGACGACCCCAACCTAGCCTTCCCGGACTGGGCGTGCATGGACGGCATGGTCAAGTCTTGGCCCTACGGCGCCATCTCCCTCGAGTTGTCCGCCATGGTGCCACGTTCCCGCTCCACAGCCCACTCGTTGTGGCTGGCCGTGTAGACACAGTTCCTAGGGAACCTGGAGACCGCGCCCTCCACCTTGACGCCGAGTTTCGGACCTTCGTCCAGGGGGACCTCTCCGTCACTGACTACTGTCGGCGCCTCAAAGGCATGGTTGACGCCCTCGAGGACCTCGGCAAACACGTTCACGGCCGCACCCTCGTCCTCACCCTGATTCGCGGCCTCAACGAGAAGTTCGCCTCCATCGGCCTTCACCTTCAGCGCAGTCATCCCTTCCCCACGTTCCTGGAAGCCCGGAACGACCTGCTGCTAGAGGAACTGAACCAGGCGCATCGGTCGACCACACCCTCCACTGCCCTAGTGGCTGCCGACGCGCCGCATGCTCCTCCGGTGCCTGCACCCCGTCAGGAGCAATAACCTCCACCATCCTCGAGACCAGCCGATTCTGAGGGCACTACTCCCAATAATCGACGGGGCAAACATGGCAGCAAACGCGGTGGGTAGCCCGCTACTACGCCCACCGGCAGATAGGGAGGCGCCCCCAGGGCCGGCATGTCTTGGCCTTCCTACCTCCACCCTTGGGCTGGTTCCATATATGTATGTGTTGCAACCAAAGCACAGGTTTGGGGCAGATTTCTGATTTCATTAGCCACACAAACCATGGCAGGATTTGGGGATACATATAGAGTAGCATACTTGGTCCTTAAGAAAGGATTACAGCATATGCCAACTACTGAAATAGATACTACAGAAGATGCTGATTAGGATAAAACAGATGATAAGGGTGCTGACACATGCACCAACTACTCCTAACAGATAAGCACAATACTTATAGCTGTCAATCTCCCCCTAAGTCTTGTGTGGCATCTTCTGGGGAACTTGAGTCATCCCAATTCTAATGAGCAGCTCCTGGAACTTGACTCTCCCAAGTGACTTGGTGAGGAAGTCGGCGAGCTGATCCTAGGTATTGATGTAGTTGGCCTGGACACTCCCCTCGTCCAAGCAGCTTGTGATGAAGTGGTACTTGACGCGGAAATGCTTGCTGCGCTCATGGAAGACGGGGTTCTTCGCCAAGGCCAAGGCAGACTTGTCTACCCTGAGCTCCACTGCGTCTCTACCAAGGAGATAACCCAGCAATTGAGCCAGCCAGAGAGCTTGAGTCGAAGCATTAGTGGCAGCGATGTACTCCACCTCGCAACTGGACAGAGCCACCACCTGCTGCTTGACCGACTGCTAGCTGATCGGACACTTGCCGAGGAAGAATGTCCCGCTGGTGCTCTTGATTGTGTCGAAGTCGCCAGCGTGGTCGCTGTCGCTGTACTCGATGAAGTGCGCCGCGCCGGGGCACCTCGGGTAGTGCAAACCGTAGTCAGAGGTGCCCACGACGTACCGTAGGATCCTCTTGACAGCATGCTAATGCTCCGTCATCGATCGCTGCATGAACCGACTGACATAGCCAACGATGAACGCTAGGTCCGGCCACGTGGGCGAGGTAGCGAAGGCTGCCCACAACGCTCAGTTACTGCGTGGCGTCAACCTCCACCATGCTGTCGCGGCTCAGCTTCAGCCTCTCAATGGGAGTGTGGGCTGGGTTGCAGTCGGTGAGCCCGCCTAGCTCGACGATGCGCTTGGCGTAGGCGGTCTGGCGAAGGGAGATGCCGAACCTATCCTGGTGGACCTTGATCCCCAGGTAGAAGGGGAGTATCCCCAGGTCACTCATCTGGAAGGCGGCCTTCATCTCATCCTTGAACACCTCCACCTCTTCTTCCTTGTCGTCGGTGATCACCAAGTCGTCGACGTAGACGCCCACCAGCAGGGCATTGCCTCCCTTGCCCCGCCGGTAGACAGCAGCCTCTTGAGCGCTCTGCTGGAACCCCATTAGCTTGAGGGTGGAGTCCAGCTTGGCGTTCCAAGCTCGTGGTGCCTATTGCAAGCCGTAGAGGGCCTTGCGCAGGCGGAGAACCTTGTTCTCCTTGCCGGGGATGACGAATCCCGACGGCTAACGGACGTAGACCTCCTCCTTCAGGTCGCCATTGAGGAAGGCTAACTTGACATCCATGTGGTGGACACACCAACCCTCCTAGGGTATCAGTGAGAGGACACGGACGGACTCCATCCGCACGACGGGTGCGAAGGCGTCGTCGAAGTCGACTCCCTCCTGCTAAAAGACGCGCCTTGTGCTTGATCACCGCCCCAGCCTCATCCTTCTTGACCTTGAGAAGACCCACTTAAGGGTGATGGCGCAGTGGCCGGCAGGAAGATCCGCCAGCTCCCACGCCCGATTCCACTCAACAGCATCCATATCCTGCTGCATCGCGGAACGCCAGGCCATGTCTCCCTCCACCTCAGCGAATGAGCAGGGCTCTCCATCGTAGTGCGCTAGGTACAGCTCCGCCTCGAAGTCGTGCATCGCTAGTCCAAGGACGGGCCGCACCGCGAGGATGTTGTCCATGATGCGGTAGCACAGAGGCTTGTCGTCGTGGTAGGCATCGACGCAGTCCTCGTCATTGGACAGCAGAGTGGCGAACTCCACCGTGCGCTGATCGTCATGGACCGAAGTTGCCGGTGCCGATCCTGGAGGTGTGGGCGCTAGTGTAGGAGGTTGGGGCATGGCTAGTGCTGGAGAGTGAGCAGCCGGTGTAGGAGAACGGAGCGTAGCCGGTGGTGTAGGTGGTAGACTCGCTGGAGCTGGTGGCGGGGTAGGCGAGCTCGGTGAAGACAAGCTGCTAGCTACCCCCGCTCCCTCAAAGTGGACGTAGTCGACGACAAAGTCACTGATCGTCGGAGTCGAGCCATCGTCCACCATCTTGCCCCAGTTCCAGCCTCGCCCTTCGTCGAACACGACGTCACGTGAGATGCGGACGCGCTGTGTCACTAGGTCGAGGATGCAGTAGACCTTGACGCCCTCCGCGTAGCCGATGAAGACCCCTGGCGTGCTCCAGTCATCGAGCTTGCCGACGTGGTTGAGCTCCTTGACGAACGGCAGGCAGCCGAAGACGCGGAGGTGGCTAACCATCGGCTTGCGCCCGTGCAGACCTCGTAAGGCGTCTTGCCGTCAAGGGCCTTGGTGGGCAAGCGGTTGAGGATATGGATGGCAGTCATCACCGCCTCCCCCAAGTAGATCACTAGCATCCCCCTCTGCTTGAGGAGGGCTCACGCGGTGGCCACCACCGTCTGGTTGCGCCGGTCGACGATGCCGTTTTGCTCCGAGGTGTACGGCGCGAAGAAGTGGCGCTGGATCCCCTCGTCGGCACTGCACGCCATGAACTCAGTCGCCGTGAACTCGCCGCTGTTGTCCGCGCGCAGCACCCGAAGCTTGCGGCCGCACTCCTCGGTAACAGCTTGACGGTGCTTCATGCCGTCCACAGCTATAGCCTTGGTGTCGAGCAGGACCGCCCAAATGTAGCGGGACACGTCGTCAACGAGGAGGAAGAAGCACCAGCCTCCAGGTGTAACCGGTGTCACGGGGCCGCAGAGGTCGCCGTGCACAAGCTCCAGCTTCTCCTTGGCGCACAAGCTTGGTGAGGACGCAGGTGTCGCAAAACGCTCCATGTGCTCGACGCACGGTATACCCTGCACCATCTCCTTGTTGCCGAGCTGTTTCAGGGCCTCGAAGTTGAGGTGCCCAAAGCGCTCGTGCCACCGCCAAGCGTCATCGTCGCAGCGGGCCGGGCGGGCTGCAAGACAAAGGGGCTGCGCCACCTGCACGTGAAGGACGTAGATGCGGTTGCTCCCTCTGTTCACCTTGCCGAGAAGGCGGCAACGGCAATCCTAGATACGCAGGACCCCATGCTCGATCTCCACGCGTGAGCCGTTCTCATCCAGTTGTCCCAAGCTGATGATGGAGTTCCTCAACGCGGGGATGCAATAGATACCGGTGAGCAGTCGGTGCTCGCCGGTCTTGGCGGTGAACACAACGGAGCCAACGCCCTTGATCTCCACGGTGGAGGCGTCCCCAAACTTGACGGAGTCTCACACACCGGAGTCCAAGTCAGAGAAGTACTCCCGCCGCCTGGCCATGTGGTGGGTGGCGCCGGTGTCGAGGTACCAGCTGTCGATTTTGTCATCGCTGGTCCCGTTGCCGATGAAGATGTGGGCGCAAGGATCAAAAAGGTAACGCCTCCTCCCCGCCTAGGCGCGCCTAATCGCTGGGCGATGGGGTCCCGTCCCGTCTGGCCTATGGGGGTAGACGGACCCCTAGGCGCTCCCATCCCTGCCGGACGAGCTCCTCCACGCCGGGCGCTCGTATCCCCACCGGACGAGCTCCTCCTCCCGAACGCCCTTCTCCCCGCCGGGTGCCCGCCTCCCCGTCGGGCGCGCTCCTCCCCGCCGAACGCCCCCTCCCACCGGGCGCTCCCCTCCCCGCCAAACGCACTCCTCCTGCCGGACGCGCCCCTCCCGCCGGTCAGTCCCCTCCCCGCCGGTCTCCTCCCTAAGCGGCAACAGCCAGCAGGTCAGTCTATCCTCCCCTGCTCCTCTCCTCTGTTTTCTTTGAACTTTGAAGTGGTCTGAATGACTGAATCTGAAGCCTCTGAATGACTGAATCTGAAGCATGCTCCTCTCCTCTGTTATTTGACTGAATCCTTTGATGGCTGCATGTATGTATCTGTGATTGCCTGAACTCTGAATGTATAGCTGATTGACTGAATGACTGATGGACAGAATGTATAGCCTAGCTAGTTAGCTGATTGACTAAATGCATAGCTCAGCTAGTTAGCTGTCACTTACTCACTTGTTAGTTTACACGCTTAATGCAAAATTAGGAAAACGCCTTGAAACGCCTAGGCTAGCCTAGGCTCGCTTAGGCTCTAGGCCGTGGGTCGTCGCCTAGAAACCGCCTAACGCCTTCTTGAACCTTGTGTGGGCGCGCAACTCATTGAGGTGGAGAAGAACGGCGGCGGCTGGCGCGGGAGAGGAGTGCAACTCGATGCTCCCGTGTACGAGGAACAAAATCGGCTCGTCACCCTCCTGTGCTTGCGCGACGTGTGCCTGACCGCTGCGCTTCGTCTGCTGGCCGCCCTTGGCCTAGTGGCCGGTCTTGCCACAGTTCTTGCAGATGTCGTCGAGGGTAGCCTTGCGCTCGCCATCGGCGCCGTCAGGAGCGCCACCACGCGCTTGGGGAGCCTTGTCCCGCTTGCGCGGCCGACGCTTTCGACGAACCCGAAGCCTCCCCCTTCTTCCGCTCCCGCTGACGGGCGAGCCACTGCTCCTCGATGAACAGAAGCTTGCCACGGATGGTGACCGGCTCTGAGGGAGGTTGCTGCTCGCGGTCGTCGACGGCCTTGAGGGGGCCTGTGACATCCACGATCATCAGCTCAGAGAGGTCCAGCAGCGTCTCCATCGCCAAGGCGACCTGCGTGTACTTCTTGAGGACAGCGTGGAGGAACTTCTCGACGACTTTCTCCTCGTCGATGTCGTCGTCGCCGTACCACGCCTTCTGCTACATCAAGGTGGAGAGACAGAGAGCAAGTCGTCGACGTCCTCGGCCAGCTTGAAAGCCAGGCGATCCCACTCCTGACGCAGCTTCTATTGCGTGGCTCTACGGGCGCGAGCGCTGCCGATGCATGCCGCAGCGATGGCATAACAGGCGTCCTTGGCAGTCTCCTTGTCTGCGAGGGAGGGCTGCATCTCCCGCGGAACAGTAGCAAGAAGGGCCTCCAGCGTCTGTCGATCCGCCGCTAGCGCCAGAGTTCTTGAAGACGGTCTGAACAACGGGAGGGGAGCCGCACGCCGGCCATGGTGACCACGGCGCTGGTCCGGGGAAGGGGAGGCACCGCCTGTGAGGGCTCCGCGTGCCAGTGTCCTATCCACCCTGGTCGTGTCCGTCAAGGCCACGTCTGCCGGGGTTGCATGCGTCGAGGTCCCACAGGGCCTGCTCCAGCGCCGCACGCTCCCGCTCCCGCTACTCCAGCTACCGCTCGATTCGAGGGTCCCGCGGGCTGGTCGTCCTGTCACACCCGTGTGCCTGCATCCACCCGCACCCTCGCGCCCGCATCCGCCTCCGCGCGGAGGGCTGGAGCTGCCGCCGCTGCCACCTCCCTAGCCGTCGCGGTGGCCCGCTCGGCCGCGAGCCGCTCCGCCTAGGCCACCGCGGCCTGTAGCTGCGCCGCCTCCCGCTCCCTCCTCTCTGTGTCCGCCCGCCGAGCGTCCTGCGCAGCGGCCTACCAGCGCCGCCCAGCTGAGGTCTCCGACTCGAAGGAGTGGGAGGAGTGGGAGACGTTGGAGTGGTAGTGGCTGGCCATGTCACCGAATTGGGATGGGGAAGAACACAGGAAAGATAACTAGGCTCTAGATAACATTTGTTGGAACCAAAGCACATGTTTGGGGTAGATTTCTGATTTCATTAGCCACACCAACCATGGCAGGATTTGGGGATACATATAGAGTAGCATACTTGGTCCTTAAGAAAGGATTACAGCATATTCCAACTACTAAAGTAGATCCTGCAGAAGATGCTAATTAGGATAAGGTAGATGATAAGGGTGCTGACATATGCACCAACTACTAACAAATAGGCACAAGACTTATAGCTGTCAGTGTGGACCCACCCGTCCTCCCCTTACGTCCCTCCCCGCCCGTCCACATCAGTAACCCCCAGCACATCTACGGCAGTCTGAGCCTCCACATGCTCTCATTGTTGGTACACAGAACGTGTGGGCGCCCTCTCCGCCTCTTGAGTTCAACCCCTGGGTCGCCCCGGCTCGGACCAGACGGCCCACGCCCACTCCTTCAACACCATGACCCTGCAATTGCCACCTCAGCAGGAATGGTACTTCGACTCCATGGCTACTTCGCACATGACCTCCGATGCTGGTACTCTCTCGCAGCTCCCCTTCCTGGTAGCCTGTTCCCTCCTCAATTGTTGTCGGTAACAACTCCCTTCTCCCTGTTACCTCCACTGGCACTACCACCCTTCCTGGGTCCTTTCATCTTAACAATGTTCTTGTTTCCCCGAACCTTATTAAGAATCTTACTTCCGTTCACAAGTTTACATCTGACAATAATTGCTCTGTGGAATTTGACCCATCTGGTTGCTTTGTCAAGGATCTTCAGTCTCGGAACAAGATCATCAGGTACAATATCTCTTGACCTCTCTACCCATTGCGTCTACCTGCTACTGGTGCCCCTCATACCACCACTTCAGGATCCATGTGGCACCGTCGTCTTGGTTTGCTTGTCAAGTTATAGGTAATAGAAGTCTAATAGATTGCTTGTCTTAAAAAAAATCATTTTGATGTATGTTACTCATTTCACTACCATTAGTTAGCAAGACTTAGAGCAATGGTTAATCAACTGTTCAAGCTTGCTACCTCTTCCACAGGCCACCTAGCTACATTGGTTCTAGAGAAACTCAACAAAATAAGATGGGACCGATGGATGTATTTCTAGTAAGTTGATCAACCTCGATGGTGGCAGCCACGTGATGATGTGAAGAAGCATAAGTAACCCTACAAATCAAGTGTGGGTGGTTGGGTGGGGAGGGGGGGAGGTTCAAGAATGAAATGCATTTCGCTCAGGAAAACACTTACTTGGCAGTGTACCATCACTTGGAACATCCGTGATACATCAACAATGTCCTTAGCGGTTGTTGCAACTTTCACTATGTCAGCTCCAACTGCTTGTATTCTAGCAACAAGATTTGTAATTTCCTCACAGGATGGAGTATATTCATAATTATGTGAAGAAACAATAAGTTTACATTTCTCTGGCTTATGGCCAGAAATAAAGCTCATAAATTTGTCTGCAACCTGCAAATAAATAAGTTTGTCACTACAGTAGCTATATGACTATCTACTGATACACAGTGACAAAAAACGTCAGGCACGACATTCACAAATCAAGGCATCTAATGGAGGCCTAATGTTTTAGTGAAAATTGCTCCTATAGTCTTGAAGTTAAATGCATGTGCCATTCAATATGCTCTAGTTTTATTATATAATCCTGACCCACATAGAGCACCGGAAATAAATTGTCCACAGAACCCCAAGGTAGTGTAGAAATGAATGTTCAGACAAGTGGTTAAAAAATTAACAGAACAAAATACTACTAGCAATACCCTGGTATCGCCATTACAAGCATAAACAGTAGAAAACCTTAATTTATATTTCTTAAAGTGAGAAACACACCATCACTATTTGGTACACAAGCCCATGTTCCCATCATTCTGACAAATAATAATCAGTATTGTTGCAAAACCTCAACATAATTTCTACAAATCAAGCATTTGTGCCAAAGAATTGCTAAGGATGCATTTGATTCTTTGCCTTTTCTTTTTGTCACAGATCTGCTCTTTACTCTACTTGTTTTCCTTCACTGAGACTGGCAATACCATTGCCCCAACACCCGCCATGCTTACCACTGAATTAGCCAGCACATTACAGGCTTACAGCTGCCCATACTACTGCTTCAACTGCCACCACTTGTGGCCTGTGGCATCTTCACCACCTCATCACCTCCCCTGCCAACCCCAAACCTACCCAACTGAAATCACTAGTTATGCTCGTTTGCAGCATGCCCCACATCCATGGCCTAGTGGTTTGGAAACTTACATTCTAACCCTACGTCGCCATACATGAGACAAAGAGCTGCTTATTGCACAGCATAGCATTTAACTTCTGGTGCTGGGTTAATATGTTAGCATGAGCATTGTTCACACCAATTTCCCTTTTTTTTCTCCAGTTTCAGTCACTAGATATATTATTTAAATTTACATTTTAATGATTGTTAATCTGACCAAGACCAAATGACTACTAGACAACTAAAGCATATCAAAATAATTGAAAATGGATTTAAAGTAAATGAAATAATTTTTCAGCTAAGGAAATGTATGCATAATGTATTGCAGGTGCATATTTGACGCTCCTATGGGGACATCCAACTTTTGAGTTGTGGTGGTGGTAGTAGTATATACTGTACTTGTACCCAAATGCCAAGAACAGTCATGGGACGTTATACATGTAATTCTGTACCCCACTTGCATAGTTTCAAGTTCCAATTGTCCAGGCAGTTGAAAAAGCATAACGGATTTGATTGCTCAAACAAACGAACCTTCAATTCAATATCAACATAGTCTACACCTAATTCCATTGCTAAACGTAGTGTCTCAAATCTTGTGGTGTCATCACCTTCATATTGGCCTCCTTCCCAGACAGGTCTGCCAACAAACAAACAAACAGATGCCTACATCATTTATGCAAGGTAAACTGGCATTTCTTGCTATAAAAATCATACTAAATACAACTAGCTACTACAAAGAACTGAAATGTTTTGTCAGATTTCAACAAAGATATATGTGCTTTGATAAACAGCGCAACAAATATTTTGGGAACATAAATTCAAAATATTAATATAATAAATGGAGAAACATAGAATTCAAAAAATTTCATGTTAGGACCACTTCTTTCTTTACACTATGATGACTGGATAATCAGATCCATTGGTCTAATTGTAGAAACATAAATGAGCTACCTCACTCTCATGGGTGTAATATCATGGCTGATGATAATCGAACAGTGCAGTGTCAGGACAGCAATGATTAGAATATAAGAAGGCTTCACCCTGCCCCAACAAACATCTATCTCCAGAAATAATTGATTAGTTGTCAAGGACAGTTATCTTTTGTCATTATTTTTACTGATTTTAGAATAAGTACGGCCCACCTAGCAACTTAATGTAAATTGACAAGCAAGCCACAAATGTTCTCCAAGTTAGCCTTGTTTATATTAAAGAAAATCAAGCAAACTGAATGAAATTAACTCTTGAACAATTATAGAAAACTGCTTATTCAGTGATTTCTTAATATGGAAAACAAAAGAAGAAAAATAACTGTAGAAAAAACTTGAATTGGGCACAGTGCCATAGTTAAATAAAAGGATTGAGCCAATAAGTGGGATTAGCTCTATCTGAAAGAATTTGACACTTCAAGGTTGTTATAAAATTAAGGAATGTACAGAAATTAGAACAATACATGCAGCAGAATAAGGCAAACTGTTGTGGACATGATGGAGAATCATGTTGCAGAAGATAATTGACAGCATGAGCATTCCTCTCCAGATGGAGCAAAGTAATTCGAGGTATGTTTTACTTTTACCCACGCATGGCTGTGTTCGCTGACACGTCAGGTTATAGATTACTATTCCCTGCGCTACTACGAGCAATGAGTGGAGAGTGCAGACTAGTGTCTAGTGGGGTATTTCGCAGGAACATAAACCTATGGTCGGTCTGATCCTTGGTCATGACAATTTCCTTTAATATGAGGACTGAAAAGTTAGTTCTAACATGTGTGTATTAGTAGTGTGAGGTCTTAAACACTATCATGTGGATGTTGCAACAATAATTAATGTGGAACACAGGGCAACTTATATTTATGGTGAGATACAGAAGCTTAGCAGGGATTTTGAAGCTTTATATTTTTATTACCAGCAGCTAATTTGTGCAGAAAACAAGATTCAACAAGCAGATAATGCATATACTCCAGGCACAGCAGCCCTCCTTCTAAGTGATGAAATTTAAAAGCTCATGTCTAGCCAGAAAGGCAGCACAAACTGAAACAAGACCAAATGTGCAAATTAGATGCTAAAGGGGGCCAACTATGTTCAACATCCTCAAGGATACACATACCAGAAATTAGTACGGACTTCAGGGGCTTACATTCAAAATATCCACACACAAAGGGGCTATTCTTGCATTCATCCCACCACTCCATGTGATCCGCCAAAACAGCGTCGCAAGCCAAGTTAATACGTAGCGACAAACGAAACGCGACTAGGTAATGACTCAATAGCGCGGAACGATACACACAAAAAGCGACAGAGCATGTGCCGTGCCGAGTTGAAAATCTAAATCTCGCGAGCCCGGGCACGCCCAGATGGATCCCACACGGGAGTAGCCGCACACGCGCTCCGGATATCCTAAAGTGGCGGCGGAATCCATGAAATGAAACGAACCGAACCCGACCGCGGAAGCCATAGCGGGATGCCCAGAGGGGGAGTGAGCGGGCGAGGGCTGGCGAACGAACCGGTAGGTGACGAGGGCCGGGAGCGGGCAGCCGCGGAGCAGGGGCGGTAGGTGCTCGTGCGGGCGGAACCCCTGAATGAAGTCAAGCCGGATCTCGACCATGTCGCCGCCGGTGGCGGCGGCGGCCGCCGCGTCGGCAATCATCTCCTCCACCGTCCGCCCCACCAGCGGCACGCACAACAGCGTCATCTCCGCCTCCGGAGTCTGCTACTCCTCCCTTTCAAATGGCTCGCCCTCGCAGTTGACCCGACTGAGGATGCGGGATGCGGATGTGGGCAATCGGCAATGGCCGCGGCCGGGGACAGTCTGCTCGCGAGGGAAGGGCAAGTGGAGGACGGGGGTTGTTGGCCAAGGCTGTGAAGACTGGAAATGGGAGAGAGGCGGGTAGGACGTTGGCTTGGGTTGGTGGCGTACTCGCTTTAGCGTGGCGGGCGCAACCGCGCAAGTGGGAGAATGGGCCGAGGGGTTTGGTGGAAAGTTGAATTTTGCCGCAAGGATGTACTCTCCCCGTCTTATAAGGCCGATCTCAATGGCTGGTTTCACTGCACTGTTTCTAACATGGCCATGTCATCTAAAGTGGAATGAAACGATGAATGAAACAACTTTTATAGTACAGTGTTTCATTTTACCAATTTCAAAGCTAAGTAAAACATTTAATTGCTGCAGGATGCTGGGATCATATGCACCATATGCATCGTGTAGCCACTTCCACACATTCAATAGCTGCTTTCTCATCAAAGGCAAAATTGGGGGCATGGCCCTCCATCCAGCTCCTTGCGGTGGCCGTGCTGGCACATACGAACTTGGCACAGCAGGGGAGGAAGTTGGCACAGCCGGGGGCGGAACCTATGGCGGCACTGGGAGGGAAGTCGACGGCGGCGGCGGCGGCGGCGAGTTGGAGGTCGACGGCGCAGCCGAGGCCGCCGTCTTCATTCCCAGCCGAGTACCCCCATGTCCTTCCCTCGTGTGCCAGATGGGCGTCGTCGGGTGCTCCCAACCGGATCCATCGATGCAGGATCTCGACCGCTCTCAACCGGTGCCGCCCAGAGCTCCACGAGAAAGGCTGATATACGGGAAGGGAAAGGAGGGGTGGTGGGGAAGGCATGAACGACGGGGCGGGAAGGATTGGGGACGGGGCGGGAAGGAGGGCGGGAAGGATTGGAGTCGCGCGCCTGGAGCACGGGATCAGTCGGATGAAATTTTTCGCCTCAACGCTGGTTTCATGCGATTTCCAACGACTTGGAAACGGAGCTCACTCGTGTCGTGGGGATGAAACGTTTCCCCTCTCTCTCCTCCTCGTTTCATGCAAAAACTCCAAATCTGCTGATGTGTCACCCTATTTAATGTGCATGAAACCCCCATGAAATGCCCATTGAGACTGGCCTAAAAAGCCAAAAGGTAGCGTCGCCCGCCCGCACGACTAGGCGTACTTCAAGTGCGAGCCCACGCTGCTCCCGCACTCGCATAGTGTCGTGCTTCGTGTCCCGCGTCATTTCGTTTCTATCTGTGCCCGCACGGTTTCATGCGTCTACCTCTCACGGTTCCGGAGCTGCTTCTCTATACTAAATTTAGCTAAAACTAAAAATAGGAATATAGCTCTTTTTTTCTTTTCTCTGGTTGTGTGTATGATGTGAGAGCCTCTCCCATCTATATATATAGGCCCCGTTCAGCTTGCTGAAACTTGGCTGAATCGGCTGGAAAACACTGTTCTGGCTGAATTGTTGTGAGAGAAAAATATTGTTCCAGCTGAAAAAATAAGCTGAATAGTGCGGATTATAAAATAAGCCGAACGGAGCCATGGTCATATAGTCATAGGATGGTCGGTTTGGGGAGCTTTCCTTGCATGTATCCATGCAACCGTTATGGGGGAGCCACCGGGGAGCGACACGTGGCGGTGGAAGGCAAATGGTGTAGGTGGGGCTGCGACCGCACCCAGGTGCGCTCGCACCCTGGGTGGCACCTCCCCGCACCGCCTTCGCGAGGGCGGTTTCTGAGTGGGCCTGGGCCATGTCTTCGTGGGTTTTGCCCCTGAATCTTCAGGTAGATGGGCCTTGCTCTTGTTTTTGCTTGAATGCGCCTTCTCGGTTGCGCATTTTGGTATGCTTTCATGTGTTCCCCGCAAAAAACTTAAACACCAAAACTTATGGATGTTGGTATATTTTAATGCATAAATATAAATCCACAAGCGCACGGATACCGCTGTAACTTTTACCTAGAAGTATTCCAAGTATCGTATCCACAGGGAAACGTGTGAGACTAACTATGGTCTAACTTAAGTAAAGGTAGCAACAAGGTTAGGATAAATAGGAGCGTAGAGGAGATCACAAAGGTCTTCTAGTTCTAACTTCGGTAAGCTATGTCTTCTATTTTTCAACTGGAGATATTACTAGGGAAAGACACCAGCAGAGAATGCTTTCCTTCGCAACCACGTCCTACGTGCCCTTACAAATGGGATAGGGACTACAGAAGATTCAACGAGGCTATAAGAGTCACCCTCGCGAGCTACCACTGATCCCGGAATGCAGGATGCATCTACAAGTAACCAGAATCTAAGTACCACGCTTACACTACAATTACTACTTTACTCTTCCCGGATAAAGAATAAAGCACTCAAATAAGTTGTGAACCTGATGAATAATATAAACAAGAAGCTTACTTGAATTTGAAGTTGATTACCAGAGAAATCTTAGAGGTAAGCTATCGATAGAATATCGTCGGCAGTCTCCGAGGGTATCCCACGAAGGTAGATTGATCAACAAAGATGCGTGTAATCGAGAACAAGAAGGCAACAGAGACACACGAGTTAGACAGGTTCAAGCCCTCAGTATGACTTAATACCCTACTCCTATGGTCTATTGGATTGTATTGGCTATCGTATGATATTACGTGAGTTTGTAGGGGGTCCTTGCCCGTCTTATATAGTCTAGGGGGCAGGGTTACAAGTCGGTTAGAGCTGAGAGATAACCGAAAAGTAATAACAGATTACAGGAATCATAGGATCATACGTATCCTAACAGATCTCATAGTATCTTTAGGATATCTTCCCGGTGTCTTACAGGAGACGCCGAGCAGCATGAACCGTCGCCGAGCTACGTGAATCGTCGCCGAGCAGTGTGACCCAAGTACGGCTTGCCATAAGGATGTAAGGAGCTCAAGTTCAGAATAAAAAATTTCTTCAAAGTGGACCAAGTGTGCCCACTCAGAGTCCGACCACGAGAAAGGAAGATAATCTTCTTCAGCTTCAAGAGGCGCGAAGTCTTCTAGATTAAAGCAAACACACTCACCGTGAGGTGAAGTGTGCCCACTTAATCCCTGAGTCTGACAGTAGGTGACGCAGTCACGTGGTGCCAGGGTCTATAGTAGGAGAAAAGTAGAAGACCAGCCGAGCAGGCAGCCAGTCCCCGGGCGTAGCCTCGAGATGAGAAAAGCACATTCACCGCAAGGTGAAGTGTGCCCACTTAGTCCCCGAGCCTGACAGTAGGTGATGTGGTCACGTGGTGTCAGGGTCAGAAACAGCAGTCAACAGAAGAAAGTCCACAATGCGGTGAGGAACCAAGACGTAGTGCTGACGCAGTCCCCGAGCCACAAGAGGAAATCTTAGATAAAACAAATCGCGGAGAAAAAACCGGAGTAACAGCTGTACAGTAGTAATTATTGAGCCGTAACAGATGGCGGAGATGTCGGCGAATATTCGGTGAATAGTAACAACCTGCGGCGATAAATGGGCAATATGGGCTGCAGTTGCGCGAAAGCCCAGGTAGCGGCCCACCACGCCATTTCAAAGAATTCGGAGAGGCGCAAATCACGGAGCGATTTCCCAAAAACCATCGAATGTAAAGAGGTTGGGGGAGTACTTTATAACTGCGCCGCCGCACCCCATGCTCCCACCTTTGTCACTTTGCCACTTTGTCTTCCTCCTCAGCCATCACACTTCCAGATTCATACACGCTTTCGCCGCCAATTCCGGATCAGATCTGAGAAATGGCGCCGAAGAAGGGAGCTGTGAAACCGAAGAAGGCGGCCGTCATAGCCAGTCGTGACAAGGAATGGGTACCATCGAGGATGGGGGAGGCGGAGATCAATAGGATGGTGGAGGCGGGCGTTCTTTCTGACCGAGTCACCGCCGGATGGTGGCCAGCCAGCGGTGAGCCCTTCCCAATGCCTCATACTGATGAAGTAGTGGTGTTTGAGGATTATTTCTGGTGCGGGTTGGGATTTCCTGTTCATCCTTTCCTGAGGGATCTGTTGGAGTTTTGGGTAATTAGTCTGTGCAATTTCCACCCAAACACCATCTTGCACATCTCGATCTTTATCCACTTCTACGAAGTGTATCTGGGGGTTCTTCCGCACTTCAACCTCTTTAGACACCTATTCTAGTTGAAGAAGAAGGGTGGCGGTGGTTCCAAGGTGGTCGGCGACGTATATCTGTAACTCCGGGATGGGATGGCGAGCGAGTACATCACTATACCGCTAAATACTTCGCTAAAGGGGTGGAACGCCAGGTGGTTCTACATGAAGCAGAGCCATCCTGTAATCCGCTGCGACATCGACCACATCCCGGAGAGCCAAAAGAGCTGGTCGGAGAAGCCGAGCAGTGCTGACATGGAGCAGGTGAGAGGGCTCCTCAACCTGATAAAAGGCGTGGAGATTAACGATGGACTGGTGGCAGTGAGCTTCATAGTGCGCCGCGTCCAGCCCTGTAAGGAGAGGTAAGGAGAGGGCCCACCCGGGCTTTGACTTCAAGGGCAACAATGACGGCACCCAGGAGAGCACAGGGAGGTTGTCGAGGGATGACGTGCTAGAGCGGGCCGTAGAGCTAATCGCTCCAAATGTCTTGTTCAGCGTGTCAAGACAGACGAGGGCCTTCAACTGTGCAAATCCGCCTCCTCAGGTAACCATCCCAATTATTTTGTTTGTGATGCTTTTTGTTCATTACCATTGCCGATCAGTGAACTAATTCACTTATGCAAAGATCCATTCGTAGCAAAGAGCGGTGTACTTCTCGAGCGTGCCGAGGGGCGATTGGCCGTAGGCAATAGACGCCCGGCCACCAGCTCGGCCTTAAGAAGATGCGGCCAGCGCCTCGTCAAAGTCCAAAGGTGTAGACGCTGGTCGGACGGAGAATACCCCCCTTGGTGTCAGAGAAAGTCCGGGGGAAGAGGGCAGCGGTAGATGAGCCGGCCCAGAAG